TCACCGGAGCCCTGGGAGATTGACGCTGCAGTGAACTGTGATCGTGCTACTGCACTCCAGTCGGGGCGGCAGAGTGAGACAGTCTCAAAACAAAACCCCCCAAAAATAAAACCTGGAGGAATATGAAGATATATATGGAACTTGTGTGGCTCTTTTGAAGAGAAAATCTGGGCATTTTTGAGGACTTTGTGGGTTGATGGCACTGTGTCTTTCCTGTATATTGCTTTCACTGGCTGTCCCTTTTCTTGTTCCTTGATGGTGATTATTTATACTGTTCTATAATTGTGGCTATGTTCTGTCTCTTTTCTTGTTGTTCCCAAGTAAACATAAGAAAGAGGAAAGGAAGCCAAATGATTTTTCTAAGATTATATGCTAATAGGGGGAGCAAGAGGGAGATAAATGGGTTTTTGAGGTTGTGCAGTCTTTGAAAAGACATTTGTTTAATGTGGAATTAATATAGTTATGAGAGATGCAAGTGGGATTGGATTGGACCACAGGGAAGTATAGGATTGGACTGTCAACCTTAAATAACGGAAATATGATTAAGTAGAGTTAATTTGAGTCCAGAGCTTGAGGATGGCCACCCGGGTGCATAGATTCAAGTTGCCCTGAATATACACTCCAATTAGCAACAGTTACAAGCGGGTTTTTAAGGAAAAAAGAAGGGACCATTTCTAAGATTTTACCAAGAATTTGCATCAAAATAACATAAGCTATTGATTGTCTAAACCTTGTTCTTTGTATCACAAATTTCAAGAACATGAAGATAATGGAAGGCAGCTAGCCAGGCACAAAATGCCCTTAAATGGTTTTCCCCAGGCATGGCAGGATCCATAACTGAAGTCCCATATGCACATCTCTCTGGGCCTGATAGATTTCGTGGACCTCACAGAGCTCAGACTGCTTCGAGCTATTTTTGTTAGGATTCCAGATGATTTCCCAATAAAGGGAAATAAAGGGGTCAGGAGGAGGTACTGGAGCACTTCTTCCCATGGGACCACCAGTGATAGGGTGGCTTAGGCTATCTGAGGGTGCTATTTTAGAACAAGCTGTTTTAGGAGGAGAGCTGGCATTTCAGAACAAGCTGTTTTAGGGGGAGAGCTGGTATATGTAGACTTTAGGTTCCCATATTTCATCTTGACCAGAGTGACCAGTCAGAGTAAGTGGTATTTCAGACTCTTGTTGCAGATGTACCTTCCTTTATTTTTTGTGTTTTTAGTTGTGCTTTGATGTTAATTTGCTTCAGTGCTCATTCCTCCTCTGAGCATTCCTTCCAGCCTTGGATTTAGAGCATGGCAAAATTATAATGACATTTTAATCAATGGTGTTTATTAAGATTTCCAAATGTAAAATAATCTTTATTCTTAATATATCTTAGTCTATGGTACAGTGAAGAAGTGATCACAAATATGTTTATTAAGATTTCAACATTTAAAAATAATCTTTTTTCTTGATGTATCTTAGTCCATGGTTCAGTGAGAAAGTGATCACAACTAAAACCATAACTAAGAGGCACCAGTGAATTTGATTGAAAGACACAAATAACTTATTCAGATTATTTTAAGGAAAAAAGAACATTTGCTGTCTGAATCCATTGTACTAGAAATGAAAGCCATCAGGAACGAAGCATGAAGCAGCTTCGGGGTGGGCTATTCAGTCTCTTTTGGGCTAAAAGGTCTCTGGTGGTGACTGCTTTGTTCTACATCTCAGGTGCTGTTTCCTTCTCTGTACCAGCTGCTTTTCTCTGCTTACTGGTAGTTTTTGCTTCCTCATTTTTTCAGCTTTACCTTTGGTCATCATTGCCTATTAAGCCCTTTATTGCATGGTGCTTCGTCTTTAACTTCCATTGCAGATTGATCCATTCTCTAAGTTTCTCTTAGTTCATTTCCACAGAGAAGGGCTCGTTGAATAAATTATACTAATACTTTAGGATGCTGTAAAGCTGTGGAAAAGGTTGGGGTAGATCTACTGGGGTACTGGAGAAACTGCATTCAGTGACATCACTTTGGCAGCTTGGAAACTGGCCACCATAGCATGAGTATTTGCCGCTTGGAAATCTGTAGATGCCACGAACGGGGCCCATTGCCTCTGCCTCTTCCTGCAGAAATGGTTGTTAACCTCTAGGGGCACTGCCGGGTAGATGTATAGGTGTTAACAGTACAAGATGTACTGTTAAGTGAAAAAGAGGTATATATTTTAGAGTGATCCTAGTTTTTGAATAAAATGGAAGGTTTAATATTTGTGGGTGTTCATGAATACATGCAAATTCTTGAATAGTGTGGAGAATATTTTTGGCAGCTAACAGTGATGGCTTCTAGAAAGTGGGGGCTTAGGTTTGGAGTGGGGAGTGTGTGTGCAGATCAGGGTTCAGTTTTAGACATTGTCTATATTTTATTGTGAACATTAATAGCCAATACAATTCTTACATAATCATAATAATGTCAATATCATTTACTTCAATTTCAAGTATTATGATGAGGTATGTAGGGAAGGAAACATAATCCTAATGTTGAAGATGTCAAGGTCAAATGAATTCACTTTTCTCATATACCATCAAGGTCACAGCCGTGTCCCTTTGTATATTTTATGTCATGTCACATTGACTTTTCTCACTCCGTTAATTGCTTGTCTTCAGATTTCCAATAGCCCCTTTACACTCTGTTTGATGTCTTTATATGTAAGCTTTTACTGTATCACTACTATACCCATGATCTATGTGTTGCCTGGAATCCACTTTCTTCTAAGACACCTTATGTTTCCTGTTCTAATGTAGACAGGTTGCTCTCTATGCAGCTACACAGTTGGCATTTGGAAATGTCTAATTTTGGCCTGCGGCAATGTTACAGATCCTGTTTTTGCCTCTCTGTCTTATTTTGTTTAAAAGAATTATTCTGACTCTTGCTGAAAAGAGAAAGTGGACTTTATTCAGGACCATTGCAGTCGGTATCAGGACTATTAAAATAGTGGAGAGATCAGGCTCAACTCTGCACGCACCAAAGACAAGTGGAGATGGATAGCCAATGGGCAGAGCAAGAAGGTAAGTGATGGAAAATCACTAAGAGGAGAGACGTCAAGTGTAGGGGGATTCTGGCTAAACCGACGTAACGGGATTCTTGCTGAAGACCGGCCAGAGTGACCAGATATCAAGGGTGAGAATATCAAGACCAGCCAGAGTGACCAGATATCAAGAATCCCCCCACCCTTCGTATCTGTTCAGATATCTAGGCTAATCAGATATGAAGGGTGGGGGGATTCTTGCTAAACTGACTTAGCAGGATTCTTGCTACAACTGGGCTAGGCAGGCTGAAGACAGGACAAGGCTGAGGTAGAGGCTTAGTCAAGAAGAGGGCTCAAAGGAGCCTGCCCAAAGTTTGGTCAAGGAGCGTCTTTATTAGTTCTTCCTGTTGCTGTTTTGTTTTTCTATAGAAACTCTCAAATTCTTTTTCAAAGAGACATTTCATGGGCAATAAACTTTGAATCCTTGTGTTTTCCTGCTGCTGTAACAGCTTACCACAAACTTGGTGGTTTAAACAACACAGATGTATCGTTTAATGGGTTCTGGAGGTCAGAAGTCTGAAATCAAGTTTCTCTGGGCCAAAGTCAGCAGGGCTGGTTCCTTCTGGAGCCGCTAGGGGAAAATCCATTTCCTTGCCTTTTCTTGCTTCTGAAGGCTGCCTGCTTTCCTTAGCTGGTGACGTCTTGCTTCCACCATCACTCGGCCTGCTCCCTCCTTTAACCTTCTTGCTTCCTGTTCAGAAGGATTCTTGTGACCACACTGGGCCCACTTGCATGATCCAGGGCAATCTCCTGAACTCAAGATCCTTAGCTGAATTACATCTGTAATCACTTTTGCAATCTGAGGCAACATTTACAGGATTCCAGGGGTTAGGATGTGGACATCCCTGGCGGGGCAGAAGGTCAGTCTTCAGCTACCATACCTTGTAATATCTAAAAATCTTTTTATTTTTCCTCATGGTTGGCATAGAATTCCTAGTACATAATTTTTTGCTCATAACTTTGGAAATAGTGTTTCATTATCTTCTAACTGATTAGAAGTTTGACACCAGTCTAATTCTTATTCCTTGGTATATGGCTTGAGAAATTTTCCCCCTCTAAACTTCTGAGATCTTTTGCTTTAGTTGAATGTTACACCTGGCTTAAGCCGAGCATAAACTTAATTTATTAGTGTCCAGTTAAGTGTAATTAATGTTCACAGGCATGCCTCTAACGGGGATGTTACTTTTGCAAAATGGTTTCCAAATTGTAGGTTCCTACCCATTTAAGAGAAAGGGAGAAACAATGAAAGGAAGAAGGAAGGAATAAATAAAACAGAATGGAAAAATTCATAGTGCTGTCTTCCAGTACTTGTAGTATGTATTGTTTCATGAGACATTTGTTTTACTTGTATGTGTGTGTGGTTTGTTAAAAATGTCCAAAACCACTACTTTAGCATGTATTTTGCTTCCTGTCTGAAGTAGGGGCTGAAAGAGAGGCTACAATTTTCATATTAAGAATTATTATTAAAAATTACATTAAGATATAAAATGTATTTGAGGAGAGGAGCATTTCTGGTTAGCTTTAGTTTAATGTTTTAAATAAAATTTTTTTTGTTGCTCTATGACAGGTTTTATTTTTAATAAGAAATAAGAAAGTGGCTAATATTGAGACACAAGATGAAGGCACATTATGAAGCTGCTTGTTTCAAGCCACTGTTTGTTATCAGATGGAATGCTGGTGTAGGCTGGTGTGCCTCATAGTTGGGATGTAGCCTGAAAGGCGTGTTTTCACCCTCAACAATGATCAGCTTTGTTTGAAAATATATAGTCTGTGTAACCGCAGCAGGTTTTTTTTCTCCCTTAGAAGAAGACAGAATGCATCTCAAACTTTTCCTTCTTGTTCTTGTTTCACAGATAGTTTAAAGTAGAGCTGCCTCTGCGTTTCTTTGTTTTAGTTAGTTGCAGAATGTGTGAGGTACCACCTAGCAGCACTCTTGGTGTGTTCGAGAACTATAAAATAATAATGAAATCTTGGAATAGATAAGTTACTCTATGAGGACTGAAGCTGTTGTTAACTCCCAGGGCCAGACTGATTATCTCACAAAGGGTAAAGTACTTTAAAAATTGATGTTGTTTATATTTTTAACATTCATCTGTCAGAATGTACTCTAGGAAAAATGGTCTGCTGTAAATTTTGTTTTATTGGAAATGAACTTTAGTAACTTTGTATGAATTTTTTCATTGCAACTTGGTGTTAATTTAGTGACATTAAGATACAATGCCTGCTTTTAAAGCATATAATTCAGGAGGATACTGGATTCTTAAAAGTTGTTGGCAGATTAAATGGAAAAAGAGGTCATCTTAGAATTGTATAGTTGTGAATTTTTTAAATGCTTCTTAAAAAATGTGGTTATTTTCTCCCATAAATTGTGCTGAGATATTTTCCTGTATACTTGAGTATTTCCTGCACATTTGAGTATCCAAGTATCTTCTGATCCTTATTGCCTAACATATGCCTCTTTTACTTTGAAACTTTGTTACATTAGATATAAAAATCATAAAAATAATTTGATTTAATTTGGCTTGGATAATGTAGTTTTTTTTTTTTTAAACAAACATCCTGGTGAAATGAGAGGACTGATGTTTAAAGCCATTAATCTAAGCCGGGTGCGGTGGCTCACTCCAGTAATCTCAGCACTTTGGGAGGCTGAGGTGGGTGGATCACCCGAGGTCAAGAGCTTGAGACCAGCCTGGCCAACATGGTGAAACCCCATCTCTACTAAAAATACAAAAATTAGCTAGGTGGGTGGCTGACGCCTGTAGTTCCAGCTACTTGAGAGGCTGAGGCAGGAGAATCGCTTGAACCCGGGAGGTGGAGGTTGCATTGAGCTGAGATCATACAATTGTATTCCAGCCTGGGCAACAGAGTGAGACCCCGTCTCAAAAAGAAAAAAATAAAGTAGTTGATCTACGTATTTCTGCACATGGTTTTATTTTTAGTAATAGGAACTTTTTCTTCAGCTACAATTATTTTAACACTCGTTACTCTTTAATTACTGTAATATTTTGGCAACAAGTGGTATTGTATTTCAAACCACATTTTTCCAAGTAAACTTTTATTTATGGATTTATCATGCAAGGAGAGCGTAAACATGGGGTGTGAATTGTTGGGATAATGTCCTGATTAAATTTTTATTTGATAATGTGACGTAAGTACCAACCAACACAGCTGCCGTTGTTTATAGGTGCCCGGAACTTTGTTCACATTTGCACACAGACACAAGACAGTTGTTGATAATCGTTTGCAGTCACTGTTTTGGGGCACACTGTTGGCTCTTTCAACAGAATTTCTAAATAAGTAATCAAAATGAAACCAAAGGAAGTATTCTAGTGTAATTCTTAATAAACTTCAGACCAGATAGTATGAGCCATAATTATAGCAAACCCTACCTAAGAATACTGCTTATTACTCTGTGCTTTGCAATGCAGATTTTAAAATAATGTCTCTAAACTGAATATTGGCTAAGATTAACATTTTCATTTAGTTTCCTCAAAGAAACAGATTTGGCTATATTTTCTAAACCGCGTTTGGCTTTAAATTCACTCTCCTTTTAGAATACATACATTAATATTATAAAATTTTCTCCCCGTGGGGAAACTCAGGGATAAGAAATTTCTAAGGGAGTTTAAAGATTGAGAATTTATTTATTTGATTTAGAGTTAACTGTTCTGATCACTTTAAAGCACATCATACTTCTCCCAAAAAATCAGGATACAATTTCATCCAATTCCAATAAGAAGTCCAGTATTTCTGGAAGTCTCTATAGACTGACAGTGATCTATGTAAAGCCTTATATTTTATAGTTTGCCACAATGACATTTTCTTGGGATACGTTGCGTCTTTACTTCCCAACCCCAGCCCTTGCCTTTACACTTTTAAACTTTTCATTGTTATGTTGGAAATATACTTGTGACGCCTAGGACTGGTAGCAGGAATAAGAGACTGGTATAAAAGACATTTCAGTAAAGCATTCATCTATTGAATTTGGCCTAATTACCAAAGAAATTAATGCTTTGCAGTTCTGATAATAGAAACGGAGTTTCATAAGTAGTCAGATTCTCTTAATTTGAATTTAATTTTTTTTTTTTTTTTTGAGACAGGGTCTCATTCTGTCACCCAGGCTGGAGTGCAGTGGCACAATCCCAGCTCACTGCAACCTCTGCCTCCTGGGTTCAGGCGATTCTCCTGCTTCAGCCTCCCAACTAGCTGGGACCACAGGCAGGCACCACTTTGCCCAGCTAATTTTTGTATTTTTAGTAGAGACGAGGTTTCGCCATGTAGGCCAGGCTGGTCTCAAACTCCGGGCCTCAAGTGTTCTCCCTGCCATGGGATTACAGGTGTGAGCCACCACACCCAGCTTGATTTTAATTTCTGTTAATTTGCTTTCCCTATGCTTTGGTAGATGTGTGAGTATCATGTTTTAAAACTGGGCAACAGAAGAGGGAAAAAGGAATTGACAAAGGCTTGTAAGTCTAAAATAGGATAGTGAATGTGTATGTAATTGAGTTGATTATCTCAGACTTCTGTTTGCATTAATTCACGATGAAAATCTGAATAACTCATCTGTATTTTTATTTTACTGAATCACTCTGTTTAGTTATTCACATATCCCCCAAAGGAAAGCATATTCACATTTTGTAGTTTAACTGGGAAAAGCAGTGACATAAACATTTTTTTTTTCAAATAAGCTTTTACGAATTTACAACTTCCCACTCTGCTATTTTTGCTATTATAAACAACCCTGTGCTTGTTTGATGATCTCATTGGCATAAATCTATAGAGGCGGTAGTGCTGGCTAAGGATATGTCTGTTTTCAGATTTTTTTATACTTATCAAATTACTTTCCAGAAAGATTTTATATATTTATATGTTTATCTTCATTGTAAGGAACTGCAGTGTCCTCACATTGTTGTCAACATTGAGTATTATCAGTGCATTTTTTGGTTAGTCTGAATAGGTGCAAAGTGATATTTTGAAACTTGTATTTCTTTAGTTATTAATGAGGTTGATTTTTTTTCTATGTCTTGATTTCATTTTAGATTTTATTTTTATCAGATCTATATTTGGCTTAAAGATTCAGCAATCTGTAAGACTTATTTTGAAAATAGCAGACTCCTGTATTTTTCACTGCCTGCTCCATAGAAGTAAGCACTCTCCACTGCCCTGGCTGATTCTTTTCCTGTGTGCCTCCATTGCACTAGGTAACATGCCAGTATTGCTGCTTTGTGCATCTTCTGTTTTTGGCATTTCTGTTGGTTTCCTGCTTTGGAGAATGAGGATTTGGTTTTCCACCCTGCGCCTGGCTCTGCTAAACACATGCATGTCCCTTCAACTTTCAGGGATTTGACTTCCTTTACTCACCTCCCTTGGTTTTAACCCCACCTCTCCTTAGGAACCACCATTTGCTTTGAGGAGGGGATTTCAAGAATCCCTATAGTTGCCATTTTAATGGGGTTTTAGGAGAAATGGAGGTAAAAGCATGCGTTCCATCTGCCATCTGTAACTGGAAGTCCTTTTTCATGTCTTTAGTAATTATATTTATAAAGTAGTAATTAAAATTGTGGGCTGTGGAGTCAAGACTGTCTGGATTTGAAAACTGTCTTTGCTGTTTACTAGCTTTATGCCTGCAGACAGGTTGCTTAAAATCTCTAAGCCTCTTTTTTATCACTGGTGTAGGATTCATAATGATGCCTACCTTAGAGTGTCATGTGATAAGGCAGGGTAAAGTGCTTAGCACAGTATTTGCCGCCTGGCAGCATCTTACTGTCTACCAGGCACTTAATAAGAATGCAATATAGTTGCTACAGTTGTTACTGCTGTTGCTACTTTTGGGAATTTCTTGCTCATAACCTTTGCCTAATTTTCTCTTAGAATGCTTTGTTTTTTTTCGTAAGAGATGCCTTTTATATAGTCTGTTATTGATCTTTTTAAAAAGCTTATGGTATATATTCATACTATTTCATGTTATGATCTAGACTTTTGTTGTCAGATTTATGTTTTTGAAAGTCTCCTAGTGTTAATAAGGATGAAGGGTGTGTGTGTGTGTCTGTGTGTGTGTACACACACATATGTATGATAAAACCAGAGTCCTAGAGACCGGTTAGGAGATTGTTATAGCAGTTGAGGCTGTTGATAAAGAGAACTAAAAGGCCAAACAAAGACATATTTGTATCATGTAAAATAAATATTGTATCTTGTGCTAGTTTATTTTGTGGAGATCCAAGTTTCTTTACTTTTTAAAAGCCTTTTTGAATGTTCGTCTCTTCTACCCAAGTGGGCTTCATCTGAAAACTTAGAACTTTCAGTTTCAGTTTCTACTTAACATCAATTTCTATGAAATTATAGATCCTGTATTGATTCATGAAGGATAAGATTTATCGTGTCCTAAGTTTATGCCTTAATAAACTTGCTTTTTTATTGAATATTACATGTATTGCTATTACAAAGTTGTAGTTACAAATACTTAACTCATCCTTTTATTTGATTTTGTTGATTTGTCATTTTAGGCAGCATTCATTTTTTATTTTTATTATGTCTTAGTTTCATAATTAATTAGCTTTATGATTCTTTCAATAATAGTTCATCTAAATTTGATATCTTCTTCGCAGATTCAGACCAGGATGTAGCACTCAAACTTGCCCAGGAGCGAGCTGAAATAGTTGCTAAATATGACAGAGTAAGTATCCATATTTACACTTTGAGTGAGTTTTATTAGAAAAACCATATAAATAGAAATGGATTTGCTTTTTGGAGAGCTTAAATTACAGAAGCAGTTTGTTTACTTCATGGGGACATAGAAGTCATCTTTCTTCTCTGACTTCATCTCCTTTCTTCCACCTTTTCTCCACTTCAGTCTGTTGCTGTTCCTCCAGCACACCAGGCTTGCTCCTCCTGCCTCAGGGCCTTTGCACTGGCTGTTGCCTCTGCCTCTGACACTTGTGTCCCAGATATCCTCATGCCTCATTGCCTCGCATCTTTCAGATCTTCACCCACGTGCTACTGTCTTACTGAGATCTCTGACCTCCCACCTCCCGTTTAATGCCCCTGAACCCCAACACTTTGTACACCTGCTGAGACTCTACATTCTAGGCAGGAATTTCTTTTGTTTGATTTACTTTTGTATCCTAAATGCCTAGGACATTACCTGATTTACACTAGGCACTCAATAAATACTTGACTAAGTTAAGTATATGGAATTACATATCCATTGCATTCATAATTTACATCTATTATAAATTTATCATGGATCTTAGATTTTGAATTTATACAAGTATGTATAATTTCATTTAGCATTTTATCCTTATGTTGGTATGGAATCTGTTTTTTGATATTATAGAAAATCACAGTTATTGACAATTGACATACCTCCTTATACCTTACCTCCTGAGGTTTATAATGAGTCCTAGCAGTGATTTATAAATGTCATGTTTTGTATTTGTATCACTTGCTTGTAATTATATATCTGTTCCTTTTGATTATTTGTGAGGATAACAGGAGATTAAATCATAGCAAGCCACCTGCACTGTGCCCTGCTTCCATGAGGCATACAGGTGGTGCTCAGCAGTTATGTTCCCAGAGTTCATTTTTGGAACATGAAACAGTTTCCTTCATTGTGATGAGGTTTTATTGTAGTCCATGAAAAACTTAGTTAACTTATTTAACTGCTTCACTCATTTAGAACCAGTGTCACTCTCACTCAAATGCTTGTGTGCATTTTTTTCCCCGCACAGTTAACCCAGGCAGCATCGTGCTGGGCCTTGGAGATTCATAGAAGTGAGTGGCAGCACTCCTTGCCTTGCCTACAGGATGCTCACAGTGTACTGAGAGGAGAACACACAAGCAGACAGATGGAGGTGTCCACAAGACAGTTGGAAGTTTGAGTCTGAAATTTGAGGGAGTGGTATAGATAGTTATATTTGGGGTTTCTTCACTGATCAGTGTTAGTTAATAGTCTAAGAGTAAATGATACCTAGATTAAGAAGAGCAGCGGAGTGTGGACCGAACTCTGAGCACACCATCAATGACGAGTTACCCATGAAAAAGCCATTAGAAGAGTTGGCGGGGCACGAGGAGACTGTGAGAGTACGACGTCACAGGAGTTGGGGAGAGGGAGTGAGTGACCCTGACAAGGACGCTTCAGAGATCCATTAGATGAGGCTTGAAGAGCGTCCAGCAGATCTGACAACTGGAAGGTCATTTTTGACCTTGGCAAGAGTAGTTTCAGGCTGGCATAGCTGTGAAGTAAAGAAATAGACGAGGAGCTTCTCTGCCTGCTTCTCTGAGGAGTTTGCATAAAAAGGCCCCCCCAAAAAATTCTCTTTTTCTGAGACATGTTTGGTCTAGAACCGTAAGGTTCGGCAGTTTCTTGAGTAGCTTCTCATCCCCATCGCTCTTCTTTCCTCATCAGCTTCCCCAAGGAACCCTGGCCTGATCCTGGCTCAGCTCCGCGTCAGCTGCTGCTGACACACAGCACCTTCCAGAGTCATAACTAGGAAATAGTGTTTATCTTGTCAAAAATAGTTGGGTTTAAAGGGGGGAAAAAAGTTAAGGCTCGTAATGCCTCACTTCCAGCTCTTATTTTTAATAATACGTTAAAAATAGCTCTTATTTCTTCATCCTTATTTAAAAAAATTATACAGTTTTGTAAACTGATTAACACTTATTTTTGTGCCTTATTTTAGGGACGAGAAGGTGCAGAGATTGAACCTTGGGAAGATGCTGATTACCTTGTTTACAAAGTCACAGATAGATTTGGCTTTTTACAGTAAGTCGCATAGATTGAAAGCTTGCTTTTTTGATTATAATGTTTCTGTGGTCACCTATTATACTGATTTTCTTTATTTTTAATATAATTGCTGTGAATAAGGAATAGTCTTACAATATGCTTTTTGGTACTAAATTCCTGGGTTTTTTTAACAACTCTGTGATTAAAATTTAACTATGTTTAAGAATATAATTTTTAATATTTTTTGCAATTTAGTAAGAACATTAAGTGCAGTAGATGATATTAATAATTCAACAGAGTTAAATGCAAATGGAAAATTTGTATTTAAAAATAATTATAAAACATTTCATTCTGTACCAGTGCATTTTAAAAATAAATAGCAATTCGAACTTTAGTGTTATGCAGCCTAAAAATTAGCCTTGTAAAGAAATGCCATTCATCTTCCTTATAGTTATAAATGTATTCATAATATTGCTTCTCAAAATTAATTCCATTCATCCTGAATATGTTGTATAAAGAATTGAGAGAGGCCTAGATCACATAAAGGAAAGCAGTTAAAATAATTTGGATCCTTAAAAACATCCTGCACATGATATGAATCTGTCTGTTCTGGTTCTGGTATTGTTTAATCAGATTCCTACAGGCTAGAGACTTCTAGTCATCTTTATACTTTGGTTCCATACAGTTTAAGGATTAACTAAATTTTCATTCAACTGTGCTCTTTTCCAATTTCATTTATTATCAATAGGAAAAAAAAAGCCAGGGCTGCTTATTTTATACTGCATGATTAAATTTTGAAGGAAAAACATTCATTTTTTGTATAGTTCACAGTAATGTACAGTCCTCTGATCTTATTTTCTCCTTTTTTTTTTCTTTGAGTCTAGAATTTATTTTGTTGTATTATGTTTTTCTGACAGTAAAACCAACCAGCCAACAAACAGAAACAGTTCCCGGAGCTGGAGAATGTGTGCTCTTCTTGTGGCTTTGCTGTTTTCTGGTCATGTAGACATTTTGTGCTTCATTTTTAAAGCAGGAATTAGTTTACATACCTTTTTTTATGTACCTTCAGGTGTATTTGAGGCTTTGAAAAAGTAAAATATAAGAATACTTTTTAAAGTTCTGGACAAATATTAAGTGTTATTATACCTAATGACATTAGCTATCTGAAATGTTCTTCTGAGTAGTTATAATCAGAAAACTTTGTTTTGTTTTTGTAGAGACAGGTCTTGCCCTGTTTCTCAAACTCCTGGCCTCAAGCAGTCCTCCCACCTCTATAATCAGAAGGCTTTGAACTTCACTAGACTAACAGCAATATTTAACTATGATGGAAATACTGTTCTTAAATTAAACCTCCACCCCTACTTCTTTAAAAAATCAAACTTGGCTACAAATGTGACAAGAAATGATTGCATATTTGTGTGTAGTGTGCAGATCTGGGGTATGAAGACAATTTAAGCATTAAGACTGGTAACACCAGTGGGTCCCAGACTTGCCTGCACATTAGAATCAGCTGAGAAATTGTTTAAATAGATTTCCAGGGTTTCCTAGATTTTGATTCTAAAGATAGGAGACACCTCAGCTGATTTTGACCTTCCCAAGTGATTTTGGTGGGAATGAACAACTGTACTAGATTTTTTATTTTTATTTTTTAAATCATAAGATGGTCTAGTATGGTTTAAAATACATATGGAAACCTGTGCATTCCAAAAAGGATCTATTAATTACCTAAATTTTCTTTTCTTAATTGCTTAAAACAACATGAGCTGGGCCCTAGAAACAAGAGGTAGTTTTTTTTTTTTTTTTTTTTTTTTAAGTGGCAAATGCTGTATTTGACTTTTTAGCATTCTGGATTCCAATGTAAAATTCTAAGTGCACAAGTACCTTGTTAACGTTTAAATACACCCATGTGATCACACATACACAGTCCATTAATTTGGGGGAATTGAAAACATACCATCAAGTTAAAATGAGTTTTAAGAAAAAACTGCATTCACAAATCTGAAAGGCATACAAAAATGAAATTGTAAAATAATGAATATAGGTGCCAGCTAAATTTCATGAAATGTGCCTGCAAATGTGGATCCAGTGATTTGTCCACACTTGTGATTGAAAGCATCTGGTCTCTCTGACTCTTGTCTATTGAGAAGCATTTCTGGGTATAAACCCGTATTTGAACTATTACAACTGTGAAATAAGTGGTTCTGACCCAGGAGCCTAGTCTGTATTTGGCAATCTGAATATTGCAGTCAGTTCTTTTGTATTTGTTTTTTCACTGTCTGTGCTAAGGTCCATTTGGGTCTAGTGGGGAAAAAGTGCTAATATTTATTGTACACTTACCGTGTGCTGAGCACTGTTCTGTGCTCTTTACATGGAATAATTCAGTTATTCCCCTGAAAAGCTCTTTGGAGTAGGTACTGTTTTTGTCTTCCTCTTTTTAGGTGATGAAACTGAAGCACAGAGTTCAAGTAACTTGCCCACGTTGTATTGACAGTGAGCGTCAGCTCTAGGGTGTGGACTTTGGCAGTCTTCCTGCAGAGCCTGCATTCTGAACTGCTATAGTATGCTGCCTGTTGCTGCTTTCTTGTATTTTAAATAAGAGAAATACAGAACAAGTGCTTTGAAATGCCTGGAAAGAAAGTTAAAGGAGAAAAACGAGGACCCAAAGAGAAGGATACTGTTTGAAATGAACACTGCTATTGAGATATGTACTAAGATAGCTAAGCTCACTGCTTTTTTAAAAATAAAGTAGATTGGTACTCGTTCTCATACTATCACACTAATTTTATTTACTCCATGATGCGGTCCTCAAACAGGCAACACAAATGAACATAATGAAGCATAGAAATGGGTATTAGGGTAATATCAAACCTTAATACATTTCACCAAAATCAGTGATTTTTAGTACAATGAGTAGTTTAAGTAAAACATTTTCTCCAGACATTGTTACTAGTGGTTTTTATTGCTTGTCACCACAGACTGGAGTTTTATGCGCTATTGAATAAAATCACTTGGTGTAAGCATTTAGATCTTATTCCCTGTCACACCTTGATCAAAAGAGCATTTTTTTTCTACTGTCTTAGTTCTTTGGACCTTTTGATTCATTCTGCAATGAAATTGGGTTTTAAGTGTCAATGTTAATACAATAAAATGGCAAAAATAACTTTGTAACCTTTGTTGCCTGAGTTTATATCTAATTACAGTTTTAGAAGCTTAAATTACGTGTTATTATATATGGAGTGACAGTAATTAACAAATATAGAATAACTTGGTTTTGGAATAGATTACACAATAAATATAAAAGCTGTTGCCAAACCAACTGAGCTCTGCTAGATGAGCAACCTGTTTGTTTAGTACTCAGCAGTGAGGTGTTCTCCCCAGTGTGTGCCATGATGGAGGTAAAGCTGGAGAACGGAGAAACAGAGCTTGTTTAAGGAAGAAGTTGGAGAACTTTAACATTTTAATCAAAAATAGTCACTGCTAGTCTACTTAACAAAGAATGTTTGGTATTTGGATAATGAAAGATAATGTATTTAGATCACAAATTATTAATAGAAGAATTAGAAGGAAGTCATACCAGAAATAAAGAAGATAAAATTAATACCAAACTTCAGATTTTCAGCTACTTACCAAAATGTGTATATTTATAAAGTATAAATGTAGTTTACTATGACTGTATAAAATGACTGTATATGATATGCAGAATAAAGGTGTCTTTGTTTTTAAAGAATATCATTGGCCAGGCACGCTGGCTCACGCCTGTAATCCCAGCACTTTGGGAGGCTAAGGCAGGCAGATCACGAGATCAGGAGTTCGAGACCAGCCTGGCCAACATGGTGAAAATTTT